TTTTAATCTGTCAGCTGGAAATTCTCTCTGCAAAATCAAAGTCTGAAACATTTTAAGCTACGCCCAAAAGGAATCCACGTTTGCATAACATGAGGCTGGCCCAACGTAGGAGTGCCCCTGCATTATACCTGGTAGGTTCATTTCTAAGTAGGGAAAGACCCATGAATCTTTGATACACAAGCCATTTAAGACGGAACAAAGGCTATCTATCCCATAAGCAGGATTACTAAATTTCTCTTTCCACAAAAATCTAAGAAAACCAACACTAAGTAGCTGTTCCTCTTCCTGGATGCTTACTAACAAGGCAGAATTTTATGCCATTATTGCTATCAACAACAATACAAATGAACCCTTATAACAGTCCTCTCAAACATTCTTCTCAGAATATTTCTAATTTTTTTTATTTGCCTGCTGATAAGAACTACCACCAGACAAAGAATGTTCAAAAAATTTAATTGCTGAGTTTTTAGGAAAGATTAATAAACTCTTGTCTCTTAATTCTTTTCTCCCACATCCTTTTAGTCTGCATTTTGGTTGGATGAAGACTTTTTTTAAATCCAAAAATCCAGTTTCAATTCTTTACAACTCAGTCCTAAGTCAGAGCCAACATTAAGTCCAACAGTACTGTAATCTCTTCCCAGTACATTCTTATTGACCAGGATTGCAATATCAGCTGTATCACTAGAAAAGAAACTGCTAACTGAAAAAGAGAGTGTAGTGTACTGATTAGGTTACTGAAGTGTTCTCTGGAAAAAAAAAAAGTTCTAGCAATACTGAACCCTAACCCTAGCTGACCATAGGCCAATCTCTTTTCGGTCTGTGACCTATCTCACATGACTCCTGTGCAGAGGGAAGCCTTCTACACTGTCTTGAGTTCAGTAGAGGAAAAGTAAGATGTATATTCAAGAAATCAACAAATAAAAATGAACTCAAGCGCACAAGGCATTCCTGTGACTCGCTTTCAAATATCTCTGAATATTACATTTGCACGTTATCTGAAAAATATTTACAGAAGCAGCTAAAACACATCTCCAGTCTCTTTCATTTAAGGGTTGGGTCCAGATTTTGGAACTACCTTGTTCTACGAAACAACCCCTGTACTGTAAAAATTGGTTCCAGGCCACTGAAACTTTTGCAATGGTGAATCTGTGAGCTTTAAGGGTGCCACAGCACCCCTCTTTGCATTGGCAGTCTAATATAGTTCCCCCTTCTGAAATTAATCAGCAGTGTTTTAGCTGACTAGACAACACTGCAAAATTAAATATGGAGTATACAGACTCTCTTTTTTAATTTCCAGAGTTGCATTATCATGATAACTGCAAAATAATTATTATTCCCACTTTTACATCAAAGGGTTTGTTTTATTTAAAGCACATCCTCAGCTACGCTAAAGCCCACAAAATGGGCGTGTTTAAAAGGGTGTGTGTATCCAGGTGAATACTCTTTCAACTGTAGGTTGCAGCTTAGCACAGTTCTCAAATATATCTGCTTCTTTCTGGAAAGAATAAAACGACAATGTATACTCGAAGGCTGGAAGGACACCTACTTCCCAAGCCCCTACTCCACCGGACAGAACATTTTATTTAACGAAAGACAACATCTGCCAAAATGTTCCAACCCCGTTGAAATGGATTAAATAAAAACGATGGCAGATTTCATTTGGGATCCCATCCCACCCGTTTCCTCTCAAGAGAACCTCACATGCTGCTTGACAAAGGATGATCCCAAACTCAAAAGGGTTCATTATGACAGGTTCCCATTGTACAAAGCTCCTCACATTCAGATCAAAACAAGCTGCACTTTTGACCACTCCAGAGATCTGCTCAGACGGAAATACAAAAGGATCTGATTTTCTCTAGAGAAAAACAAAAGAGCAAACCCAACTTCTTCCCACAAAGACTGATGAAGAACTTGGAAATATTACTGTTCTTTGGAAGAAGACTACCAGAATTCCCCCAGACAGGAGACTTCTGGGAGATGTAGTTCAAAAAGGAACTCTCCCAAGCTTTTTGGCTGAAACGTCCACTCATTGACACTTTCATTTTGTTTCTCTTGGTTCAAGATCAGAGTAAACACCCAGTGCCCACCTAACTCTACTGCTATCTCCCCGGCAAAAATCCATCTTTCACCTTCAAGTAACGCTTGCCTTTCTCCTTGTTCCCCCCTCTGTGTGTGTGTGTTTATGTGTTTGTGTGTGTGTGTGAGAGAGAGATCTTATCTACTATTAAAAACTACAATGCAGTATCTTAAGGATATATTTCTGAGTGTACAGAACACCAGTGCCAACTGGACTTTGATTATCCTTGTTTTCCCACATTAAGTCTGCATCTTCTTTTCTAGCTAAGCAGCTGTTAGATTTCTCTTTCCATAAAAAAAAATCCCAAAGACATCTCGTCCTTGTCAGGAATGAGTACTACAGCGATTTCTGACAGCTACCTCCTGGGGTCATACAGCTAAACTGAAATGGCAGGAGATCACACATTTCCCTGTAATTCAAAACACAGTTAACAGGCAATATAATGACCCCACCACCTCTAATTCTCAAACATGTATCATGCATTAATGCCCTTTCTCAGATAACAGTAAGCAAGGACTGCTTGGTGCCCAACCACTAAACTGATGATGTACATATCTTACAGTGGTCACTTTCCATGGAATGGTTGACACACAGGAACTATCACATACGAAGCTGCCTGATGGACATCACTGGTCTATTATAAGATTCTTGTCCACTGACCATGTTGGTCTGAGCTTCTGGAAGCAAGCCCAAAACCGCTGGAGGGTCAAAGGTTAAGATCTGGCATAACCAACGAATATCCAATCTGAGTGGCAGCAGTCCCAGGACGCAGAAAGCAGGGTGGTTATGCTATCCATAACTCCTTTTAAATGGAGATGGAAGGAACCAAACCTGGGACTTGCAAAGTCCATGCTCCTCTCCTCTCGGAGCGCTATACCTTTTCCCATTTGTAACTAAAGATACAATGAACATAGGTCTGACCACCAACTTTATGGCAAACCCATCCCAACACCACAAACACGACACAGAGAGCACCAGCTTTGAAAGACAGGGTACTGTATAAAGTGAATACAGTATATATGTATGTATCAAGAAATTCCACCCAGCCAGTTCAGCGAGCTGACCACACAGGAAGACAAGACTCTTTGTGAAAAGCAAGGTTCTCCAAACTCCCATCAGAACAAATCAGCAGAAGCAAATGCTCAGGGATGATGGGGATGGCAGTCTGACATCTGGCAGGCCACACGTTGCCCACCATACTCTACAGTGGACTTGGGAACAGGTCAACCCACTGGATAGTATTGAACTTTCACTCCCAGCAGCTCTAAACAGCATCCTCATAATAAAGAATACTTGGCATCACAATCCATCAATATTTAGGGGTCAACCAGTGGTTTTTATTCTATTTTTATTCCATTTTGTTTTTTTTCTGGTCTGTAAGTCGATTCTCTGGCTGCAAGTCGAATCTAAATTTTGCAGCCAGAGAAGTCTGTAACTCGAAAAGTCTGTAAGTCGAGCTGTTTGTAAGTCGAGGGTCCACTGTACTTGGCATCACAATCCATCAACATACTTTGCCTTCCCCACTTTATAACTGGCCAGCAAATAAATACTGCATGCAACTTGGAGAGGAGGAACTCAACGGACAGCCACTAAATCCCTCCCCCAGCAACTCCGGTCACTTTGTGAGAAGTTATTTTTCTCTAGTCTACTAAAGGCAAATATATCTTATTTCTAGCAAACTGTCAGCAATTTAGTTGAAAATTTTTTTTCCAAAAGTTGGCAACCCTCCATGGCTTTATATTAAACACTATGCTATATTAAGGCAGACAACTCACATTTAAGTCCAGATCAACGTTTAAGGATACAACTGACTAAATGAATCACACCAAGACCCACCCAATTGTGTTTTCACTCATGGCTCCGTGAGGTAGCTTAAAAGAGGGGCCTGGAGTATTTGTCATCCCTGTCCACCCCCAGCCTCCGACATTCAAAGGTATCCTGCCTCTGTGAATAGAAGCTCCATTTATGGAAAACTGTGGACATTTCAAATGCCATATTTTCCAGTGACAAGAGCAGTAACTGCACATCTAACAAAAATGGGTATACATTTGAATTTATAATCAGAGCTTAGCAAAGTTTCTCTGTGGACCACAACACCCAGAATCCCCCAGGCCAGCGGGGTATTGGAAAACTCTGTTTCCTTGGCTTTGGTTTGCATAAACCGCAAAAGAGAAGAATGAAAAATGTCATTTAGGAAAGAAACAGGTTTCTACCATCCTTCTTGGGCCCTGGGACTAGCAGGCAGAAAAAAAAACTGAACCCTTACAGTATCATTTCATCATCTTCCCAGTATAATCTGAATATTTCACTGATGTTCAAGCCCTACTTCATTGTATGTGTGTGTGTGTGTTTTTCCGGGGTTGTTGTGCGCCAGAGGGAGCAGCCCTCTCTTTTTAATATATATATATTTTTCTGTTGTGGTTCCATTTAGCTTAAGAATAAGAACCCCAAGGGACGCCGGGAAAGGCTGGGCCCGTGAGGGAAGAAGAAAAAAAGGAGAAAGATGCCAACCCACGACGAAGAGGAAACAGAACGCCTTGCAAACAAGCGCCGTCCTGCTGGCCTCCCGACGTGCAAGGGAACCCGGGATTACCCACGCAAAGAGGCAATCCCTCGAGGGGGAATGGAGTTTGCCGCCGGTGCCAAGCCAGGGCAGGCTGCCTCCATCTGTGGGGCTCGGGTGGAGGCCCGGCCAAGCTAGCCCTCTTTCTTCCCCCCCCCCCAAAACCCACCCACTCCGCAGCCCGTTCGTTGCAGGTACCGCCGAGAGGCAGCAGCAGGAGGAGGAGGGGTCTACCTCGGCGGGGATTTGCCAAACCGAGCATCGGGGGCCTTGCATCTCTGTGTGTGTGTGTGTGTGTAGACACGCATACACATTTACACACGGCGGAACCACCACCACCCTTTTTCCCAAGCCTCTTACCTTCATGTCACTGATGGTGGTCTGGAAGAGTCCTCCGAGGGCGCTACATTCCTTCTCAATCACAGCCTCCATTTTCCCCCAGCTCAAAAAAAAAAGAGATAAAAGACCGCGGAGGAAAACGGTTGCAGCTTCACAGCACCCGATCTGGGGGGTGAGGTGGGGGTTTGGAAGGAACCCAAACCTCTAATGCCTACCACTCCCGATGGGGAGAAAAATTTAAAAAATCGTAGGTTTCCTTATCTCTCCCCCCGCCAAGGAGAAAAATTGGAATTCCGTCTCAAAAGCAGCAGAGCCGAGAATGAAATTCCTCCCTTCCTTCTTTTTTTCCTAGAGCACCCCCCCTCCCCCGCGAGCAGGACCGAGATGGGATCCTTACAAGACACCTGACACCGTCCTACCCGGAGAAAAGTCTCCCCGAGAGAAAGATCAAGACGTTTCTATCCCCCACACGCCTGGATGACAACCGAAGCCTTGGCTCTCCATGCTGGCTCATGCCCAAAGGACACAACAAGTAGGTACGGCCCGACTCGAGGCTGGTCTCGGTCGCCACCGGAGAGCCAGGGGCGAGCTGCTTAAAAATGCATCGGATGCACCAGAAAGACGAGCACCTCACACGGCAGCCTTCTCTCCCCCGCAGCCAACTATGCCTTTAAACAGCTGCAGATCCGATTTTGCCCGCACACACCCGCTCACGCACACACACACACATTAAAAATAGACAACCGCCAGCACTCCTCCTTGGACCGAAAATAAAAAGAATAGTAACAAGCGTCTCACTTAAAACCCAACCCTGCTTGCTAAAATTAAATTGAAGCAACCTCCTCGCCCACCCGAAAAAGTAAATTAAAATAGATCTTTTGCATCGAATGCATCAGATCCAGAAGAGGGAGCGAGGACGGGAGGAAAGGCTCATACTGCTGCTCTTCAATGGCATACACCCGATCTGCTGCTTTTTAGACAAAATCCTAGCAAAAAGAAAAAAGGCAGCAAACCAAAACACAAAGAAACCCCCTGTCCTCCCCCACTCCCTTTGCTCCTCAAATGCCTTCCGGCGTGCTGATTCCTCAACTTGGCGATCCCCCTCCCCGTTCAGTAACGCCCTGCTTAAGGCTGCCTGGACTACAAGTCTTTTTTTTTCTCTCCCCTCCTCGGCTGTAGCTAGCACACCGAAGCAGCAAAAGCTGCACGCAAGCGCGCGCTGAAGCAGCTGCTTGAGCTTTGGAACCTTGTTTCCCCGGGAAAGGCGAGTCACGAGCGCAGAATGCCCGGGCCGAGGTTGCTGATTGGTTGGAACTGGGCAAGAAGCGAGGGAAACGGGGAAAAGCCGGCGGGGCTCTCGAGCGCCCTCTACAGGAGATGAGTGCGCTTGGCTGTCGGAGGAGAGCCGGGAAAGAAGGCCGGAGCGGGAAGGTCGCCGACTCGAAACGCCCGCTTTCGCTGTGTTAGCCTCTTTCCTAATAGCTGCTCTGATGGAAAATATAGCATAAATCGTGAACACGGTAGCTCTTGAGACATAAATCTTATACAAACATAATTAATCAAATGAAATATTAGAAAAGGGATAGTTATGGCTATCTGATCTGCGTTCCTAGAAAATACGGACTTTCTCTATGTGCATATGCATTTTGTTGTTGTT